TGTAGTTTTAACCTATACATTGGTTTATATATCAAATTTGGATAATTATGTCAATAAAATGCCGTGGTTCAGTAGTTAATTCCAAGTTGTGTTTCGTATGAGGTTGCGAGTTTTGGATGTAGAGAAAAAAATCGTAAGAATTGTGGCTGTTACTTTTAAATATTAACAAAGTCTGATTAGTAATAAAAACTGTTACTGTTATTTGAAATATTATAATTTTATATTAAAATGTAAATTACCAAATTGTATTTGACAATGACATAGAGACGAAGTTATTACAAAGTTAAACTAAAAAAACAAAATAAAATTTTTAAAAAGTAACTGTAAAAATACAAAACTGATAAAATAAATTTAAAGATAAATTAAACATAAATGATATTCATCTATGTTTATTATTTCATGTGTAGATTTAATAAACATAAATGATATTCTTATGGATTATTCCAAATGATTTTTTTATGTGTGTCCAATCCAAATTAATTCCAAATCTATTGTTAATATTCAGAATAATAATTTTAATAACAATCCAAATTAATTCCAAATCAATATATTTTCCCAAATTAGTTCAATAGTTTTGGGGGGGGGGGAAGAATTGTTTTTGGAATATGATAATATTTAAGTTATATTAACAAAATTGTTTAACTACGAGAAAGAAAATTAAAAACATAATTAATAACAACAATTGTTAACTAATTGTACGATAAATAAAGGAATAATCCTATAGCCTTTTAAAAGTCTCACTTATGTGGCTTTAGAAAAAGTAGAAGTCCAAAAAGAAAAAAAGTGGACGGTTAGACCGTAGAGAAAAAAAGGAAGCAAAAGTGTTATTGGTGTTGTGAATAGAGAGAAAAAGAATGGGAAAATTCATATCATATTTCATTAATCAAGTATTCTTTATATAAGGATCAATACATGTGATAAAAGGAAGTTTTCTTTTCCTAAAGAGAAAAGGAAATTACCCTATGACTAAGTATAGATGGACCGGACCGGGCTATACTGGAACAGAACTGGTTATGACAATCCACTATGATTTATAACA